TGGACATCTGTTGCATCAACCAGTTGTGTTAACTGGTTTCTTTCTGGTTTTATTCCATATTTCTCAGGGAAAAAACAGCCACATTTGATTGTGACTGTGGGAGGAAGTAGTGTATTATGAAAGAAGGAACCTGCAGCAGTGAGGGGGGGGGATGAAGTCCTACATTTACTGGTGTTGTACCTGGTGCTGTGCTGACATAGAAGATAGCAGACTGTTGATAACCCAGTTGTCTCTCAAGCATAAGGAAATCATTGACAGGATGCTATTGGCCAGTGGTGGCAAACCTATGGCATGGGTGCCAGAGGTGGCATTCAGAGCCCTCTCTGTGGGCACGCGCACCATCGCCCCAGTCCTAGGCCTTCAGCTGGGTTTTATAAAACCTTTTCACTTTAGGCCTTCGCCGCCATGTGCAAAATAAAAAAAAAAGGTTCAATCAGTCAATTTCAACTTCTCGTGGGAAAAAAAAAATCTTGCAAAGTTGGAATTGACTGATTGAACTTTTTAGATCCAACCAGTCTGCCATTACCACCGCATCCACGTCTACCCAATGGGCCACACACCCCCAATTGGCCACACCCAGCCAATGGGCCACACCCACCTGGCACCTGATGATGCATCAGTGGGTTTGGGGTTGCAGTTTGGGCACTCGGTCTCTAAAAGGTTCACCATCCCTGCTGTGGGCCCTTTGAGGTCATATCAGGGGACACACTCCAAAAGAAGTAGTGAAAGTGTTTATTGATATAAATTGCAATAATAGAATTGTAAAAGCCTGATGTCTTCCCTACTCCTCTCTCACGTAAAAAAAAAAATTAATGTAGAGCTCCCATAAGTTTCTTTTCATTGTTATCTTCTTTTCCTGGGCTTAAATCATATTTTTGTGAATTGTTGTATACCTCCTCCAAAATCAGCCCTGTGGTTCTTTATGTTTGTTTTCATTTTCATCCTGCCTTTACGATTTTTATAAATAACTCAAGGCAGCGAACATACACAATACTAAGGCAAGTTTGAAAAACATTGCTATAAAGTAATGCTTCTGAAGAAAGGAAAAGTTATTGCCCTTTCTTTGACTTCCGGGAATTGAATTAGCTGTCTATGAATAGAAAACTCTACAAAGTCCCTGAATACATTCTTCTGATAATAAAACAGATTCAACATTCTGTAGGAAAAATAAAAAACAAGAATACCCTATCTTCTCTTACAAATTGTGTGTGTCTGTTAGCTTCTACTGTATTTGAAATTTCATCTGGCAAACAATTCATTACATCATTTCTCTCTGATTTTATTCTGTCTACAGCAGAGGGCAGCAGCTAGCCAACCTTGTCTAATCGCAGAAAAAATAAGGACGATCCTTACTGATTTATTTGAACTATATTTCATTTTTATTTTACACAATTATAGGTAGCATGCCTAATGCTCCTTCCTCTTATTTTCCCACTTTAACCATCCTGAAAAAAATCCCATTTTTTTTTTTTTATGGCTGCCAAGACATAGACATGGACAGATCTCTGTAATCAACAGAAGCTGAGCTCATTCAAGGGTATCTTTAACATATTCATACTTTGTTCTATCTGGACTAGACTTTTAATACAGTGGTTCTGCAGCTGATACATAATGGAAGGAGTCAGATTATGATGAAATTGAAATCTTTGAAGCAGAGAGCTTTTCTTTTGGATTATTAGCAATATCAGAAAATCACTACTATCCAATGCTTCACAAACACAGATTGTCTTGTGGCACTTCAAAATCTAATCCATTTTATTTTATTATCATTTAGATGTTTGTGCACTATAGTATTTTGTTGGATATGTGGCATATGGTCTTGACAGAGAAACATTTTGTATGTATAGTTTTTGACAGTAGGGAAAAGAAGAGAAAATGTATAATAGTAAGAAGATGGTCAAGGATAAAATTATTCTGGAGATAGTCGTTATATAGAGAGAAGATAACAATGAAAATTCTTTTTTGGTAGGTTAGCCAAGTGCAACAAATATACAGTACATACTGTCCAAATACAATAAATAAATTATCATTTGAGCTTTTTGTTTTGAGAAGGTAGATTTATTGTTGCAAAATGGGATGGACAGAAGAGGGAGATTGTTTAATTCAGGTGAAAATCATTATAAGTCTCAACACCATACCATAACTTGTTATAAAATGTCACAAACTAGTTACATGTTTATTGAAATAACGTTAGTATTATATCTAGCTTCTCTTTGAGATACTCCACTCCTCACCTTTCCCCTTATCTTTTCCCTTCTCCCTTCCTCTCTCCTCTCCACCCTTATCCAGTGTCTTTTACAAGTTGAAAATTGATGATTTTCTCTAAATGTTTTGCTTATAGCAAGGATAATTTTTAGATGAGAGCGAAAAGAAGGGTAGAATACCCTAGATGTGAGCTCATTTCCCCATGAGGGTCATAGAGAATTTGCAATCCTTCAGTTAAGGGGAAGTAGTTCTGCCTTAACATGAATGACAGGAACTCCAGTTTCAAAGGCCAAGGGGGAAACTGTTTTATCAAACTTGGAATGTTTGCCTTGCAGTTTTTAAATCTATCTATGAGGACAGGAAGTTTGGATTTTTTTTCGCATATGAGAAACTCACCCTCCAAGGCTACATCAAATAAGCACAATTAATTGTTGAATTATGTACCATCGAGTTGTTTTGACTCCTAGTGACCACACAGATAGCTTTTCTCCAGGATGATCTCTCCTAACATGGTCCTTCAACTCTTCCAGTGATGCACGCATTGCTATTTAATTGATTCCATCCACCTTGCTGCTGGTCATGCTCTTCTTCTCTTTCTTCCCAGCTTTCCCAGCACTTAAGCCTTCTTCAGACAGTAGGTTTTTGGATATTGTGTGAGAAGTATGATAATTTGAACCTGGTCATTTGTATCTTGAGTAGGTTTATTTGTTTGAGGATCCATTTCTTTGTTTCCTTGGCTGTCCATGGAATTTTTAGGCATCTTCTCCAACACTGACATTCAAATCATCAAAATTCTTTTTCTCCCACTTCTTCAAATTTTTCACTTCTATAGCGTGTCATAGGCAACGTCTATGGTTCTGATCTTCATAGACATATCACCACATTTGAATATCTTTTCCTAGGTCTTCATGGATGTTCTATCAAGTGCTAATCTGAAATATATTTCTTGACTTCATACTACTTTACTGTTGATGATTGAGTCTAAAAATCAGAAGCTATCTGGATAATAAATAAGCCCAATATAGTTTTTTTTTAAAGCCAGTTTGAATGTTTTGGAAAAAATAGAGTGTTCCCAAGGTTTTCTAAAGCATGCAAACAAGATTCTATTGTTGTTTGCACTATAATGCTGGCAAAGGGACACAATTCTATCTTCATGATGCAATCTTATAAGAAGACAGATATATGTGCAGATGATTAATAAACACATATATTCTGCAATACACAGGTACTTCCACAAAGCAGTGTACTTCCCTTTGTATTTTCCATGATGTTGTCTTCAAACAAAAGGATGAAAAAGGGATCAGAAAAGATGGTGCGGGGACAGTCAGTGCACCCTGCCTTTCCTTCCTAGCTATAAGGCTTTCATCATGAGAAGTAAAAACCCTGGATCATTACATGGATCAGCCAAGCTGTCTTTTTCTCAGCTTCAAGAACAACGGCAGAAAGGCATTATATGTAGTCCTCAACTTACAACCATAATTCAGCCCTTATGGTCAGAAGTTCTTGCAGACATAAACTGAGGCATCACATAACTGAAGCCATTTTTTTATATTATTTTGTGGCAGTTGTTAAGTGAATCAATTTTTTCCAATGGGTATTTTTTGCTGGAAAAAGGAAGTAAATGTCGGAAACCAGCAGAAAATGTTGCAAATCACAATCATATGACCATGAGATAATGCAAACTATTGTAAATGTGATCATATGACTCCAGGGACGTGTGCAGCTATCGCAACTTCAAAAATAGGTTGTAAGTAGTTGGGGAGGGAATCTGTTATACCTTTAGTCATTAAGCGATCAGTTGTAAGTCAAGGACTACCTGTATGATATCTTGGCTTTGGTAGCTGGAGCTGGGGGGCGGGGAGGAAAGTGCAGGTTTTGGAAAATGAGATCAGGCAAGAATTCATGCCCCATAGGCATCACATACTTTGAAGCTCTAGTGGAAATGTTACAAACATGATCTCATTATGTTGTCCCTGTATGACATCAGCCCTAAATATTCCTCCCTTCCTATACTTTCACTCTCCAGAAGACTAGGGAGGACCCGTTCTAAAACACTTCCCACACCCCTTTTCCTTCTGTGGGCTTAGATACTTTTTGCATGATGGTTGTCTCGGCTGCAGCTCTTCATCCCATTTCCCAAGGACATTTCCGCATACCCTAATAGGCAGTTATGGCGTCATCTCCTGTCTAAGAGGTTTCCTAGCAGGTCTTCCAAGGAGGAGGGAGCTTTGTCATGTGTTTAATTCCCAATCATAGGCACCACTATGCGGATAACTAGACAAAGGAAGGATAAGGAAGGTGTGTGTTTTGTTGAAGGATCTGTGACAATCCACTTGTGAGGCAGTGATTTTCACTCCTTCTCGGAGTTCTGAGATTGGTAAAAATGAATGTTTATGGGTTATCTTCAAACTGCTTTTGTGGAGTTGGAAAATGGAAGCAATGGTGAAACTGAAGCATATTTGGTAAAGAGCAGCTTGTCTCTATGATTTTAGTGGATCATCACTGAGTTTGGATGTGAGAAAAAGCCTTTTGTCTGATGTCTATGCATGACTGTAAAATAATGTTCTATAATGTGTGGAACTGACTGATTTTTTTTATCCTATGGATGGACAATTTGTCATCATACAGCATACTCTTCATTGAACAAAAATGCCAATATATCTCATATGATCTAGATGGTACTCAAAGATAACAAATAGTATTTTTGCACTAGAGTTTTCTTCTGTCTAGTTTCTCTTAGCTGAGATGTCAGTTTAAGTTGAAAATAATTATGTATATATGATTTGATTTTTCAGATGGCTATGTCCAAAGAAGCTGCCTAGTGCATGAGTAAGTGCAATAATTTCATAGTAAATCTTTCTGTGTCTCTCAGATTGGTCAAAGGATAGTTTTAAAATGTTTATATTTGGGAGGGGAATAGTAAAAAACTATATAATGCTTCTTCTCAATTCTTAATATATGTAAAGCAACTAAATTCATATTTTCTCTTTCTAAATTTACAGTGATGAAGAAATATATGATGATATTGCAGATGGTAAGATATACAATATAAGTAAAATGGAATTCTAATGATTAAGAATGAAGGCAACTGAAATATTTTTCTATAAGTTTGTTTTTAATTATAAGGATAAGAAGTTTTTATCCAAACCGATTTTTTTTTTCATTTTTCATTCTTTCATAGATTTATATGACAATGATTAGCTCCAGGCCTCATCTTGGCACAGTCTTCACCTTCTCTGATTGGTGGATACAAGAAAGAAAATTATTACTCAGACTTAGGATTTATGTGTATGTACAAAAGATTTGGTTAAACTATCCCATCAGTTTCTGGACTGTGAAGCAGGTTTTAGCACAGAACCATGATAATGTTACACAAATATGCTCTTGATTTGCAACCATCAGCCAAATCTTCAAATTGGGACATTATTAAATAAATATTGGGTGTGGGATAACTTATAGCTTTCTTTTGCAAATTCCTCAACACAATCCAGAATATTCTATTTAGCATGCTACAGATTAAATCAGCAACCCTTATTTGCATTTATAATACTCCTTCTCATATTCATCAATGCACTTTGAAAAGATCCCAGTGTGCCCATAGACATGATACCTGTACTTCATCTGTTTTGTGTTATTTTTACCTACTCATCATACCACAGAACTATAGAATTGGAAGCAGCCAGCTAATTGAACCTGCTATTGAACTTTTTGTAATATTCAGGCAAAATCTCCCTTCCTATAACTCAGAAATGGGCAACCAATATTCTGCAGTTGGAAATACTCGATATGTGGATAAAAATGCCAAATCCAATCTAAATATCTTGACCATACCACAAATCATAATAAACAACTTCCATTGGATAAGGAAAATGTGAATGAAACAGTCTTGGTCATTTTTGTTTTGTATGCCTTGCCTGCAAGGGCATTGGATATATACATGTTAACATGTTAAAAAAAAAAAATCTGAGAAGTAATACAGGCTCCAGTGAGACACCAAACTAGTTCCAGAGTGATCCATCTAATGTCTACAGGAAGTGTTCCAGCAAAGATATCATGGCCTAAAGACATGTTTATGTACTTCAGAAATTAACTTGAAGAAATAATTCTGTATTTGACATAGGAAGTGGACTCATCATGATTAGTTAATATTTTTAATCTCCACATTTTTATAATCTTTTTTCAAAGTATGTTCATGGCAATTACTGCATTTGTGGTAGTAATTCTCCACCTCCTTTTTGTTTTTTTAAAAAAGAAAATTGCTACCACAAATAGTAGTAATTAAAAAACAAGTTTTATCCCTTCTGAATTTCCCGATTTTTCCAGATATATTTGGGCTCGTGTATCATGTTAACCTTTTACTTCTCAGTCGTAAATCTTCAAACATAATATTTTCTGAGGGGGAAAAAAAGATGCTCTGACCTTTCAATAATGTTAGCTACTCTTTTAAGGGCCTTTTTCAGTAGAACAATTCTATTTTAAAGAATAATGCACAATATTCTAAAAGAATTCATCCCATAACTTTTCTTAAAGGCATTATCATATTGTCCTTGCATTTTACTTCATCTTTCTTAATGCCCCCAAAAATAGAATTGGCTTTTTTGACAACAGCTATACAAATGAGCCATACATATTTTAATCTAGTATTCAATATATTTTGGAACTTTGAATTAAATAAACCATGATTAAGTTATTCACAGCAATCAATGACTATTGTCTACTTATCTGGCAATAATGTGGGGTGCTATGAATTGTGCTTCACATATATCTTGACGACCACAAATTCTCTTTCTCAATCTTATTTGGTCAGTTATATTAGTATATACTGTATGTATATAATTCTAATAAATAAATAGTTATCTCCTTCCTTCACCATTAAGGGAATTGTATAGTTGTAGAGCACTGTCACACTAAGAATTTGTACCACTTCAGGACCAGCTCCAGACCTAGCTGATTTCATACCATCATCTAGTTTGGGAAAATGAGTCAAGGTATTTCTGATTTTGCTCTGTTTTTCTTGAAATTATTGAAAAACTGGCACGGTATTCTTCAAATTGATACATCACTACAAACCTAACAGTGATTCTGTTTTTGCATCTGTCTCCTGAATTCAAGCCAGTCGTAAAGTATTCCTCTACCCTATCCCTGAAGAAGTTCAGCATCCTGTTCCTGGAGTTGGTCTCTTCCTTTATGTTTAAAATATATTTTAGAACTTTTTTTTCTTGACTGTCCAAGTCTTTCTACTACTTGGGAAAGTACCCAAAATTGCCAGCATTATGATTATTGTACCCCATAGATGATTTTAAAATGTAATAGAGGAATGGCAGTAAAACACATGAGAAACTCTGGAGAAAGTTCAGTGCTTTTATGTTTTTAATCAACATTCCTTCATATAACTGCCCACAATAGCAAATCTCCACAAAATGGAGATAAATATATGTATGAAAAACACAAACGGGGAGAATGTATTTTTTATGTGAAGCTGAAGCTCAAAGGTTATTTGTCATTCTGCAACCAGACAGCTGAGGAAATGGGATGGTTGTTGATGATACCCTTTGCACTCTCTCGAATACTCTTAGTAAGCTAAAGGAAAAGGCACTAATTGCATTGTGGTGTATTGATGTGTTCTCTACATTCTAAAGTCAGCAAAAGCAAAGATGAAGGTTGGATTCAAAATGATTTCTGAGGGATTTGGAACTGAAAATAGTTGTACAAAGAAATGCCTTCTCCATATTATTTATTTTCTTCCACAAAATCTCCTTTTTCTCTTTCTTCCTTATATACACATGCTTATATGATTTTTCTAAAAGAGATAGCATAACAGCCAGTAGAGTCTACTTAATTCCCTTTAAAAGAGTGCCATTAGTCTGTACCATTCCTTATACTTGTATGTAAATATCAAATCTAGAATAATCATTTAGTTAGGGTAGTAAGAATGTCGCTTTTGAATTCTTAATGATACATTATTCCTGTGGATTTGTTTTCAATTTGTAAGTAAGAGAGAGAATTTTGCTTCTCATCACTACTCTTCCTCTTGTTTTCTCACTTGTTTCCTAAAAATAGAAATTCAGATCCAACAATTTCTACAAAGAAAAAATTAACTCAAGCTTCTCTTCAACCTCATTTTCTTCCTGTTTTAGTTTTCTTATCTTCTAACATCTAACTGGTTTTCTTGTAAGTTACTTGCTTTTGATCTATTTAAATGTCTTAGGGTTATTGGCAACATACTTCTTACTTTCTCTAATTTCTCTTCATTTTCAATTGGACAAGACTTCTAGTTTTTTTCAAGGGGCAAACAAGAGACACATTTCTAAGAACAGAAAAGCTGCAGGATATAGGGACTAAAAGCAAACAAATATATTCCACATGTCTTGTCAAACCATTCTAGATGGCCCTTGTTTCAGCAAAACATAATCCAGAACAGCATTTGTTGTTATGGGGTTTAAGATGAAAGAAAAGTAATCCCAGTAATTATGTGGGGAGTAAAATAAGGCTGGCATGTGTCAGTTCCTCTTTCCCCTCAACAGCTCCCAGCACAGCAGATTGTAAAGAATGAAGCTGGCAACGCAAGAACCAGCATAGAGAGAACTCCTGTGACCCCACTGAACAGATGCTTCCAAATCTGAGAATTGTGAAGAAAACAGCCAGAATTATCTAGACTTGCAATGGAGACCTAGAGTTTCAAGCAGAGTGCTTTCATTTCTGCATATTGCAGTGGGCATATTCTGTATATATAGATCAGTGATGGCGACCTTTTAGAGACCCAGTGCCCAAACTGCAACCCCAAACCCACTTATGCATTGTCGGGTGACGGATGGGTGTGGCCCATTGGATGGGTGTGGCCCATTGGGTGGGCATGACTGTGGTGGTAACGGCAAACTGGATGGGACTAAAAAGTTCAATCAATCAATTCCAACTTTGCAAGATCTTCTTTTTCCTGCGAGGTTGAAATTGACTCATTGAACCTTTTTTTTTTTTGCACACGGTGGTGGAGGCCTAAAGCGAAAAAGTTTTATAAAACCCAGCTGAAGGCCTAGGACTGGGGCGATGGTGCACATGCCCACAGAGAGGGCTCTGAGTGCCGCCTCTGGCACCCATGCCATAGGTTTGCCACCACTGATATAGATTCATTCTTATTTGCAATAAAGCCATGTCATGTCAAGAGTTTCTGCATTAAGCAGATTCCTAACCATGGTGTTCAGTATCTGAAGACCTGAGATTTATTGGTGTGTCTGACATGAAGATTGACATCTGACTTGCCCATCCATCTCAAAATTTCCAGCACCAAACCTGTTTCCTCCACTCTGTCTGCCAATGTCCCAAAACAGTAAACAATACAACCCTCTGGCTTGCAACCTTCCCTAACACGAACATGTTAGTCCATACACCGAAAAGAACAGTCCCATTTCTGTCTGAACATGACCCATCCAAAACTATTCAATTCACTGATCAATGCATTCATTGGTATACCCAATAGTGATTGTTTCTAAAATAAAATATAGCATATACAAATAATTACACAAAGACCAACAATAACCCACTCTTCCTCTTTCCATTTCATCTATCCAACCCTTCTGGTAAAGATAAATGATTAAGCACTTGGAGAGATTAGATATAGGACTGGTGACTGGATGGCCTCTTGTGTTATAGAATGTAGACTAAAATATTTCACCATGTATTTCAGTTTTCTACAGGTAGTCCTTCACTTACAATTCATTTAGTGACTGATCACAGTTACAATGGCAGTGAAAAATGTGACTTGAGTTTTTCAGTTATGATCTTTGTAGCATCCCCATGATCATGTGATCAAAATTCAGATGCTTGGCAAATGATTCATATTTATGACCTTTGCTGTGTCCCAAGATCATGCGATCATCTTTTGTGACTTTCTGACAATGGGGAAGCCAGATTCACTTAACAACCGGGTTACTAACTTATCAACTGCAGTCATTCACTTAACAAGTGATGCAAGAAAGATTGTAAAATGGGTCAAAATTCACTTAACAAATGTTTCACTTAGCAACAGAAATTTTGGGCTCAATTGTGGTCGTACATTGAGGACTACCTATATGATCATTCATTTAATTTCTGCTCAATGGTGCTGAAAAAAAGTGACTAGTCCTCGCTCTTATACCCATTGCGCCCTCCCCAGTCACATGATCAAAATTTGAGCACTTGGCAACCAGCATATATTTAGGATGGTTGCAGTCTCAGCATCATGTGATCGCCATTTGTGACCTTCCCAGCAGCTTCCGATAAATTCCATGAGGGAATCTGGATTTGCTTAGCAACCACTTAACTGTGGCAAAAAAGGTCATAAAATCAGGCACGATTCACTTGGTTTAGCAATGGAAATTTTTGTGTCCATTGTGGTTTTAAGTTAAGGCCTACCTGTATACATGTTTCTAGTCTGGCATCTTTTTGAAAATATTAGTAAAAGGGATTTCCATCTAATAATTCTCTGACAGTCTCCCTGCAAAGAATCCTTTTTAAACAGGGAGGGGGACCATTTTAACAGAAAAAGTATGGAAGTGCCTATATACACACAGCCTGGTACAATGTTTAGAGACAGCATTGATTACAGGAGAATACTAGAGAATATTAGACTTCATCTTCGGATCCACAAGGTTATTGATCATAGGACAATCCTACATAGTTCATGGATCCTGATGCATAAATGGCTCCATCCTGCATAGCTGTTTCCAAGCTATACAAATACAGATGTGAAAATCTTTAGCATGACAGATAGAATATGACTTCCATAGAGAATTAATGAGTTATTTGATAAAGTTATAATGGCAATTTCTTTTTTAAAAAAATTGAACAAGTCAATGTAATTTATGCATTTTTAAAAACATTTTCTTTTGTGTTCAGATTCTATCCTTGGAACTCTTGACGTAATTATAGTAGCATGTTGCTATGGCGTCCAGAAGTTTGGAATTATACATTATATTATGTTTTTATTCTTTGTAAATTTTGTTCTTAAACTTGTTCTGAAAAAAATAAAAGATTTCAAGTTTTCTATATGGTTTGCTGTTTCTCATATTTCTTCATTTCAAATGTCTTCATACTTTTAAAATAGGTACCACAACTATCATTGCCACTAAAGAGTTATCAACCTGGTTTTTACTACCCGTGTTTCCCCAAAAATAAACCTCACCCCAAAAAAAAGACCTACCGATTTGTGGGGGTAGGTCTAACATAAGCCCTACTCCAAAAATAAGCCCTAATTAGGGTCCTGCCCATTCCGTCCCACCTGGCTGCAGCAATGGGGAAGGAGACCGCACAGCACATTGCACTGCTGCCGCCATGAGGCAAGACAGGTTGGGGAAGGGTGGAGCTGCCCCACACACCCTGCATATGCTTCCTTCAGGCCCCCTTCCTTGCTCCCTTTCACTCCCCTCCCAAGCCTGACTACCATGCTACCGTACGGAGGATGGGCAGGGTAGGCCTGGTTGTCCTCCACCGTTTTGGAGCCAGGGGGGGAATGACAGCAAAAGACTCCACTGTGGCCAGAGGGGCTTTCTTCACACTCCACCCCACAGATCACCTGCCTGGTGGCAGCCGCCCCTTTCTCCTCCTACTCTCTGTGGCTTGCGCCATGATCAGGTGACACAAGCCTCTTCTGCTGCCTCCCTCCGCCATCGCCCCGCATCTCCCTTCTTCGTTCTTGAAATGGCAGCCCCATTTCCTACCGCTTTTCCTCCCAGCGCTGCTATAGAGCTTGGCACACCATCACCCAGCTCCTCCCTCTTCCCAAAAGAAAAAAAATTCAACCCTCACCTGATTTCCAGCTCTGGCGCGTTTTTCTCCTGCTGCAGGGAAATGGAGTTCATGAGATTAAAAATAGTTCAGTTAGACCTTCCAACTTTTTTTTTTCTGCAAGAAGTTGGAAGGTCTGACTGAACTTTATAGAATACCTTCCCCTTGAAAGAATGGATAGCCCCGATCTAACTATCAGTCTTGCAACGAGATGGGTGGAAAATAAATTTAATAGATAATATGATGATGTTATCCATTCACTCATGTTCAACTCTTAGCATTTCTTTGATAGTATTCTGCCACTGTGTTCTCTGGAGGCCTGGTTTCCTTTTACAATAATAATATTTATATCACATTCAAGTCTTCAAGATTGAGGCAGGCTATAACTATTGGAAGATAAATAAGTGATAATCAGAGACAAAGAGATTGGCTGCAAGTTGTACTAATGAGCTCATACATTCAATAGGTTAACATATTCTACTAATTTAATTGTAGCTTGTCTGTTTGCTTAACAAGGTGTACACTTTGTACAATCTAAGCCACTATGGTTTGTTTAATTAACAATTATTTAAAAAGTGTGGCTAGATGATATATATACCGCTTACATTTCTCTCCCTCCCCACCTCTCCACACAAGCACACAGAAGAACCCATTTTACTGCATGAATTCTGGATGTTACACACACAAAAAGTTCATTATTGTAGTTAAGGCGAAATTATACAGTGTAAACAGGAAGCATTTGACATTTTTCAAAGAAAAACCAGTCATTTTTCAGAGTAAAACCACACTCTTAAATATGAGAAACTTTACATTTAAAAGTTATTATCAGTACTGTTTTTGTTTTTAAAAATACCACTTTCTTAGCATATTTAGGCAGCTGATAAATTTTTTTCTAAAAAAGTTGTTAAACTCAATTACCGATTTTTCATGTCTTAAATTGTAATATTCATACAGCTCTAGATAAATGGATTCCAATCCTATCCAGCACATGGCACGGATCTAAAATCAGAGAGAAAATAGAGTTCATCCTTCAGCGTGACATGTCTTGAGAATATCTTTTTTAAAAAATCTAGAAACTACCAATCTAACTAGTTTGGTAGTTTTTCTTCAGTTAACTTCAGATTATGAGGTTTGGTGGTAGGTGTGGTGAGACATTGATAAGTTGACATTTTTGCAGATCCAAAAAGTTTCACCTCTGTTATGGGGCTCACTCTTTGTAAAATTGTACAAAATACAAATGGAACATCACAATGCCATCTTGTGCTTTACAATAACTCCTATATGTCTATGGAGATTCTCAATCATCCAGGTCATGATTGTCCCAAAGGTGCTTTTTAAAAAAGTCAACAGGACTTTCTTGGTTTTTCCTTGAATATGTTTTCTTCTTATCCAAGAAGCTGCTTCACCTCTGACCAGTTCAGTTCAGTCAGTCAGTTCAGTTCAGAACAATGCCCACCCAGTAGGCCACACCCATTCCATCCACACCCATCAGTGGCCACACCCACCTTAGCCACACACCCCGCTCCCCCCCCCCGAGTAACCGCAATGATGGTACGGCCCTCAATGAAATTGAGTTTGATACACCTGCACTAGGAGTTGTATCAGGAATGAAGGAGATCCAGCTTCAAGTTTCCTCCATGCCCTCCAAATCACTTTAACTATGTCGACTCTCTTGGATAAAATGTGAAGCTCTCATCTATGTCAGGGCTTTTCAACCTTTTCACCCATTGTACCATTTTTAGGATATGCAGCATCTGAGTACCACCAGTCGCCTAGCAAGGTGTCAAAAACTTGATAACCAAAAAAAAAAGGAAAAAAGTGATAAAGTACAGGTAGTTCTTGACTTACAACAGTTCGCTTAATGACCTTTCAAAGTTACAATGGCACTGAAAAAAGTGCCCCCCAAGCCACAGCCAAGCAAGACACCTGCCTGCCTGCCCAGCGGCGCTCTTCCTCCTGTCTGAGGTTTTCGTTGTTGTGAGCATTTCTGTTGAGGATTGACAGCAGGGGTGGGGTGGGGTGTTTTTATTCCCCCCGTCTGTTGGGTGGTTGTAGCAGGTTTTGGTCACTTCACAAGACCCTGGGACACAGTGACCGACATAAATATGAATCAGTTGCTAAGCATCTGAATGTAAATCACAAGACCCTGGAGATGCTGCAACATTCCAGCTGATCGGCACTTCTTCTGGGCTCAGCAGAAGCACCAGGATCAGTGCTGCTTTCCAGCTGATTGGTGCTTCTTCAGGGCTCGGCAGAAGCACCAGGATCAGCACCGAGCTCCATCTGGAGCCTGGCGCTGATCCTGGCGCTTCCACTGAGCCCTGACAGCCCTGCAGCTCCAGCCATCTCTCGATCAAGCTTGTGAGGTGCTACCACTGGTTCAGCTCATTCCCCTCCCCCACTACTTTTCTAGGAGGGTCACATACCACCTGCCAGGTGCCAATGTACCACAGGTGGTACCCATACCACTGGTTGAAAAACCCTGATCTATGTCATTTGGAGCTTCCAGACAAGAGGCAAAATAAATATCTTTGTGTGGGAGAACATATGGGAAGCATTATTCAGTCATTTAAATCAAATGAGATTCGTTCCCCCATTGTTTTGAATATCCAAATAACCCTCATACACTTCTTAGCACAAGTTATTGGTCTCTTGGAATGAAGGCCAGTGGAGAAAAGATAAAGGTAGTCCTCACATAACAGGAGCAGTTGCAATTTCCATCACTAAGCAACACAGTTGCAAAGCATGTCATGTGACTGTTCTCCTTAACAATGAAAATGTTGGCATTTTTGATTACCATTGTTAAACAAACCACCCTGGGTTGTTAAGAGAGGACTTCCCTAATTTGCAACCTTTTTGCCAGGTTCCCATTGACTGTTTGTAGGAAGCCAGCAGAAAACATCACCTATAGCAAGGATGTCAAACTCCCAACGTCACATGACGTGTCACAACATATCACAACTTTTTCTCCATTGCTGGCAATGGGGTGGGCACAGTATCAGCATGACACATCCGGCTGGCAGTTTGACACCCCTGACTATGGTGACCATGAGATGTTATATCATCAATTGCAAGCTACAATATGGCTGTAAGCCACATTGGCCATAACTATCATTGCCCCTAACCGTAACACACATACCATCCTCCACTGTCTCCCTGAATTTGCGCAAACCCATATTCACTGCTTCACTCACAGTCTAACCATCTCATCCTCTGCTGTCCCCTTCTCCTTTAGCCTTCAGTCTTTCCCAACATCAAGGTCTTTTCCAGTGAGTCCTCATTTGGTGGCCAAAGTACTTGAGCATCAGCTTCAGTATCTGTCCTTCTGAAGAAACAAACATACATTCATATACACCAGTGGTTCTCAACCTTTTTAATGCCACGACCCCCAACCAGTCATAAGTCGAGGACTACTCAACCAGTCATAAGTCAAGCACTACTCAACTGATGCAGCACAGTTTGCAGAATGGGACTTTTGGCGGGCTCAGCAGGGCAGAGACAGCCTGGACAATTCCTATTGGCTTTTGAAAGCCAATAGAATTAGACTCTATTCAAGAGAGTATATTCTATTGGCTTTCAAAAGCCAATGGAATAAAAGGGAGTAGCATAGATAAGGAAAAGGGGAAAAAAATGACGGACTGCGTTATTTGGCAACCCTGTGAAATGGTCGTTCGACCCCAAATGGGGTCCTGATCCACAGGTTGAGAACCACTGATATACACAAAAAACAGACTCTCTCTCTCTCCAGTATTTACCTAAACATAAGGATTTGCAGTGACTGGAAGCCACTAATAGAAAATAAATGGATACATGGAGATGTTTAAGCTATCCACGTGCACGCACACCTAATTCCACCTATAAGTAGTAAATAAGGTGACGCGGGCCCTGCCACCTGGCTAAAGGAGGCGCGGCTGAACTGCTGTTTCCCCGTTCCCTCTTGCCCCTTCCAGGCATCGCTGAGCGCGGACGGGTCCTTTCCGCCCGCCGGCAGCCCCCATCGCTGCCGCCCCTCCCTGCTCAGACTGCCGGGCTGAGCGCGTCCGGCGGGCGAAGTCAAGCGGCGTCTCCTCCGCCCGCTCTCGCGAGATCGGGAAAGGTTTCCGGTGTTGTGACTGCGGGAGCGTAAACATGGCGGTGAGTCTCCGCGCCCGCTCGCTGAGGCACCTCCGCATCCGAGGTGAGAAGAACCTGGGCTAGGCCCAGACCGTGAGAGGCGGGCGGGCGGGAAGGGAGCGGCGTGTCTCCGAACTCCTCGTCCTCTCTCCTGCCTCAACCCCGCTGCGGCTTCCATCACTAACTGAAGCTCCTGCTCTTGTTTCTCCTTTCTCCCCTCCAGGCCGGAACGACAGCGGCGAGGAGAACGTCCCTCTCGATCTCACCCGAGGTAACGGAGGCCCTGCCGAAAGCCAAATCGGGCCGAGAACAAACCCCCTCCCCTGCCGCCGCCTCTTGGGTTGCCGGCTCCTAGTTTCAGAATGGGAGTGAATGGAGTCTGGGGCCGAGGGTGGGGTCCTCCGTGGGGAGAAGGAAGGGTCGCCTAAGAGCAGTGGCTAGCCGCTTCTCCGTTTCTCGAAGCGGCTCCCTTTGGAGATGGAAAGGTTGCCAATACACAACCACCTCCTCCCTTATTTAAAACTAAGCTTGTTTGGAATGGTTGGATGGTTGAATGGTTGGACAACCCCCCCCCCACCTCCTTCCTCCTCCCTTATTTAAAAACTAAGCTTGGTTGGAATGGTTCACTTCCCTGTGAGTAATATTTCATTCAGCCTGGTTGCGGTATATGAAGCGGACTTGTGGTGTAAATTAGTTCCTCAATGGAGGGCCCTGCCGTTGCCTTATTGGTCTGCCCGCTTGCAAGCCGATTTGGCTCTGAAGAAATAAGCCCTCGTACACCGTGTGTGTATGTCTCTCTCTTCCCCGTTCCCGTTGTGCGATGGCGTTTTACCCTGCTTAAAATAAGTTGGTATTTGTTGGGCCTCTTGAAAAGGGAGAGAATGTGAAGTCTGGGTTGATATGATGAAAGGCAAAAAAAAAAAAAAAATCTGCCTTGAAAATAGTGAAAGTCATCGTGTTTTATGGGAGGACAATAAATGCAAGGGATGCTTCACTCTGGTGAGTTGCTTGCTGATATAGTCTTGACAAGGAAAGGGGGAGCATGAGGACAACAAGTAACTACCAGGTTATTGACAAGTGCTGTATTATGTTCTCACTACCTTAGATTGTTTGTGCAACTTAATCTATATCAGGTTCATTATTTAATCTCAGCTTGCTGGTGATGGCTGTTAGCAGGGGTTAAGGGTTTGAGTGCTTATGTTAGCACTATGTAAATCTCAATGGTCTTTCTGAAGGATTTCTGTTCCCCTCCTACACTCAGCTTGCAAACTGATTTGGTGAGTCAGTATACTTGGAAATAGGCCTCCTTTTGGCCTAAGCTTGTTGAAAGCTATACAAGCTTCCCTGACAGTTTCCATAGATAGGCAAACTGTCTTCTATTATGATTAGATGTGGAAATTAAGGCCAGGTGGCAGCTGGAAGTATCATCATAGTAACATTTTTGAAAAACTCAATTTTCAGAACTAATTTATAGGAATATATACGTTCCTTTTAAACTTAAAATATACACAGTTGTAGTAAAATGTTATAGACATGCTATCTAAACATAAAATAATTATCAGTATTTAGTGTAACTTATTTCATTGTTTGGTATTTAACATATATATTCAGTAATTCATATATACTCAAGGTACAGTAGTGGCCAAAATTGTGGAAACCTTTTGGGAAAAGTGTATTTTTGAGGTTTGATGGCTAATACCACTTTTTTTAGTAGTACCATAAAATTATATATCAATGGAAAGATAATCAAGAATGTAATGCAACATAGTTTGTTCAATTATCTCTACTGTATTCTATGAAAAGTTATAGCCAAATAACCAGAAAAAGGAAACACAACTTGCTTAGGTTGGTATCAGGTAGCTTTCCTTCATCTGATTGTAGCCAACCAATGAGCATAAGTGTTTAGAGAGCCAATCAGGTGTCATCTTGTTTTGGCAATGAGCCAATCAGATCACAGTAGGATTCAGTTATTGATGTCATGTATTGAAGCTGAGAGGACATTTGTCAGTGTGTTATGTGAAGTTGGTTGGGTTTTTTCGTGTTCTTTCATTTAGTGAAAGAAAAAACTTAATAAAATTAAAGTAATTGTGCAAAGAGTTGACTGATTGCCCAGAAAGCCATATAAAATAGTATTATTAAGTGAACCAGGCTACAGTTATAAAGAAATTAGAAGAAAAATTGGTGGAAACTTAACCAAAGGTGGGATTTCTACTGTACACTTTTCCCAAAAGTGGCGCAGCAGTTAGAGTGCAGTTAGAATGCAGTACTGCAGGCCACTTTAGCTGACTGTGTTCAGCAGGTCAGCGGTTCAAATCTCATCAGCTCAAGGTTGACTCAGCCTTCCATCCTTCCAAGGTAGGTAAAATGAGGACCCAGATTGTTGGGGCAATGTAAAATAAATATATATATATATATATATATATATATATATATATATATATATACACATACATATACATATACATATACATATATATATATATATATATATATATATACATACATACATACATACATACATACATACATACATACACATTGCTTACTGGTGTACACCGCTTAGAGAGTGCTTGCAATTAAAGCGGTATATAAGTCTCATAAATAAATAAATAAATAAAAGGTTTCCACAATTTTGGCCACTACTGTAGAATCTATTGCAGTGATGGCAAACCTTTTAGAGTCTGAGTGCCCCAAAACCGCCTCACCACTGCCCTGCCCCCACCTCCTGTCCCCAGGGCTACCCACCACCTCCACGGCCCGCCATAGCAGATCACCCAGGCAGCCCAACAGCATCATGGTGGCCACACCCTCTGCAGCATCATCTGTACGCGATGGGGCGTGAGGGCGGAGTCTTGTCCCTGCTGCCCAGCTACCATGTCTTTGGCTGTGCTGCTCTGCGCAGGCTGCTCCCGGGTGACTCTCTTCTGGGGGGACTGCTGGTGTGGGCCATGGGGAGTGGTGGGGCTGGGGTGATGGCGTGCGTACCCGCGTGCCCACAGGGAGGGCTCTGAGTGCCGCCTCTGGCACCTGTGCCATAGGTTCGCCACCAGTGATCTATTGCATTAAAATAATACAATTACAATACAAGCAGAACTCAAAGTACATATTGTCAGTCTCAGGACTGTTTTTAGAGCAATGCGTTCTTTCTGGAATAGAAAGATAAACTGTAGCTTCTCTTCATTAGTTCAAATTGATGAACAGGACTTTTTTTTCCCTACCATGCTTTTTCTGAGAAGCAGAGTTGCAAATTGTCACTAGAAAATGGCAAAATAGCATTTGTTTTAGATAGTTTTGAGTAGATAAAATAATAATCTAGCGTACTGCATGTTAGGATTTGCAAATCCTTTGAACTGCAAATCCTGAAATAATTTGTAAACTAGAATATTTGATACAGTCTTGTTTATCAGGAAAAAAAATGAGAATAAGTGCATAAGCTTCTGGCAAAATATGTAGTACAAAGGATAGCACAGGATAAATCCAGAAGTGTACAATGAAACCAAAAATGTTTTTAGTCCAACATCTAAATGGTTCTACTGAGGACTAAATGACATAATGCAAATGATACTGTGTTTATTCACACAGAGCATGTGATTTCTATGTTTGGACATTACTGCAGTAATTGCTGGACTTCTTTATGGACATTTTCATACTGCAATTATAAAATCTAAATTGGGGTAATTGTTTTAGAAAGTGAAATTCAATGGAGAAAATTGTCATGAATTTAAATGCTGCAATTTAAAAAATCATAGATTGTGTCTAGATATACACCATTTTGATATGTTGTAGCTCCTAGATATACACCATTTTGATATGTTGTAGCTTCAATTAATATGCCAATTTTCTAGATTATTAAAAGAAAATTATATTGAAGTCTCTTAAATGTCAAGTAGATTCTTGGGATTTTGTGACCGCTTTTATGAGGATACTGAAAATGTATTTGCACAGTTATGTTTTGTTTCTCTTGTGCCTATATTATTCTATTATTCTGCTATTATTATTCCCTTATTACAAATATGCTTGCTTCATAGTGTAATGTATTCTATTATTTGTTTGAACTAGCTTCAGTAGGATAGTTCATGTTATATATGTTCATGAAGGCAGATCCTTGGATAATAGTGGTTAAATGTGTCCACTGCTTTAGATTTTTTTTAACTTTTGAATTGTGAAAGAAAGGTTGAAAAAAGTTAGATATGTTTAGCAAAACGTGGTCAGAAAGATAATTCACATCTTTTAAATCCACTGTTATGTAATACATTAGCAGTATTAATTACACAGGTAGTATTTTTAAGTTCCTTTACAGATGATGCAGAAGTGGTGTCTATTGCATTTTTATTTTTATTCTATGGGATTCTATTCTCTGGGTTGTATCAGGTAGACTTTACTGTCTTGTAGAACTCAGGAAGCCTACCTTTTTTTTTGTCACAGTGCCTGCCCTTTCGAACCATACTATCCCAAAGTAGGTTAGATTCTATCTTGTGGATTTTTGGGAAAGCTGTTAAGACCTGGGTATGGGGTGTGTGCGTCAGAGAATTATAGACATTGAAACCAGGTGTTGCTGATTTCCTTAGTTCAGTGGTTCTCAACCTTTTTAATGCCATGACCCCCCCCAATGGGTCGTAAGTCGAGGACTACCCAACGGGTCGTAAGTTGAGGACTTTCCCTGCCCGGGAGGACCGCGCATGCGTGGTGCCGCCCCCTGCGCTGGCCGAGGTGTAGCTGGCAAGTGGCAGAGACGGCGCAGGCCGGCCACCAGCTGGCCCGGCCCAAGGGAGGTAAGGCACGCGCCGGGCCCCACGTGGGCCAGCAACCCTCCCTGCGCCCGCCGGCGTCCCACCTCCCACCTCTGGCCCTCTTTTATTTACATTTTTAGTAGTTGCTCAGAAGGGAGGGGTGGAAACTTCCAGACAGCTCGCCTTCGCTGCAAAACTTGCAGCACCGTTTGCAGAATGGGACTTTTGGCGGGCTCAGCAGGGCAGAGACAGACTGGACAATTCCTATTAGCTTTTGAAAGCCAATAGAATTAGACTCTATTCAAGAGAGTCTATTCTATTGGCTTTCAAAAGCCAATAGAATAAAAGGGAGTAGCACAGCTAAGGAAAAGGGGAAAAAATGGCGGACTGCGTTGTTTGGCAACCCCCGTGAAATGGTTGTTCGACCCCAAATGGGGTCCCGACCCACAGGTGTAGAACCGCTGCCTTAGTTGCTATAATACCGTGTCCTTTTTTAAAAAATTCAGTGGCTACAGTATATGGTTTTAACTCTATCAACTGC